CAAGGTGAAATGACTATTTGGCTAGGTAGTTATGTTCAAAAGAAAACAAAATGTCTTGTTCACTTTCATGCATTCATAAAATCAATACAAACAAAAGATTAAACATAATAAAATCTAGTTAAAACAAGAATTGTAGCCTCTGACATATATGAATAATAGAAAGATCCCTCACATTTGGGGTAAAAAGGAAACTAAAGTGATTCAATTCATAAGCAAGTAATACAAAAAGATTGAATGGTATGGTAAGTGTACAAATGAAAAGTTTCCTAAACATGTTATGCTATAGAAAGCGATAAACGAGTATCTGGCGTGTACCAAATTCAAAACTTATCATTACCATACATCCCCAAGTTGAATCAATCAAAATAAGAAAACCACCAAAAGCGACCTCAAGCTATCAAAATAAAATTTGAGTTCAAACAATTAACAAAAGAATTAACACAACTAAACAAACGGGTGAAATTGAATAAACAAGTTGAAAAGTGAAAATTTCAGAACTTTAAAATTGATCCAATTTTAACTTGTTTAAGCAGATATCACCATACTACCTAAACTAAAATATTTAAAAACAACAAAACATGTTTGTTTTATGTCATAAGCTCGACGCCTATTATTTATGAATGTTCCTCCAAGTTGCTTCCACCCGGTTATTCCTAACCAACACACAAGCAAACGTGAAAGGAAATAACCAATGGTATAACAAATTCACAAGTATATAAAACATGTACAAGTGTGGTAAACATATACAAGTATTAATATAAACAAGTGAAGATAAAAAATATATACGATATCTACAAAACTCAAAAACAAAGAAATTATCGTAATGTGAAACAATAAACACTAATCCCCATCAACGGCGCCATTTTGTTGCAGCGGTATAGTGACAAGCAAAAAGTAAGCTATTAATTTATCGGGTGATATTTAGGTTATATCGTATTGTGTCCATAGAGATTGGTGTATTGAATTTCCGTTTGATAAATTCTCGTTAATGAGTTTGAGTTAAAATGGGTTGAAGGTATGAAAAGGTAAAAGTTATTAACAGAAAATAAATTCATTCTTCAAAGAAGAATCTTATCAAGCATGCATATAATCCACTCCTCACATACTTAAACCTATCGACCAATTATACTCAGCCTACAATACTCATCAATATCATCATGTATCACTCACAATCTAAGTCATTTCTAACGTGAATTGTGAATCTTACTGTATCACCTCGATAGTAATCTTTCAACCACCTCAACAACACAGAAGTCAACCGTGCTAATCGCGTCGACGATCTCTCCAAACGACACAACAAACACAAAGTCATTAATCACAGACACCCAAGTGAATGTTAGCTCTAAATCTATCTCTAGAATCCATAAACTAAGAGATAATCATTCTAGATAAGAAATCGAGCAGTATATGTCTATAGCAACCCAAATCCCTAGCACAAAGCAAAAATCAAGGATAACAATCGACAAAGATTTTTAAAGCAAATTTAATATGACGCCATGGGTAACAAATATACATGAATTCAAAGTAAAAATACATAAAAAAACCCAATAAAAGAGAAATACCTAGAGAAGGGAAGAGATAAACCACAAATCTTTCGGTTTGTCAGCACCGACCAACGAGAAATTCACCTCCAATCATTCATAAGCAAAGCCCTAGAGTTGTTTTCTAAGCTAACCCAAGAAAAAATGAGGTTGATGGAGTTGGGAGAAAAAAAATCACCCCCCAAAACCATCACCCAACAAAATGAAATGAAAATGAAATATAAAGAAAAATCTGGTCCGCACACGTCGCCAGACGACATAAAAGCGTCACCCGACGATGATTCTTATATACAAGGCCTAGGTTGTGCCACGTATGCAATTGGCCACAAATATCTTCCCTCTCCCGGCAAAAGGAAGCTTTTCCCGGTGACCCAATGTTGCCTCACCAGTGACCACGAAGCGAGGATAAGACATAAGCTACTGGAATTTGATCAAAACCTCTCGCCCCATGCTCGCCCGACGAGGCTTGACATACATCACTTATTTATTTATTTTTTTGACTTTCTTTATTTGCCTTATTCAATCAATCTTGCATCTTTGGAGCTGTCCTTTGAACTTTTATTCCTCAATGCTCCAAACATACATGAATACGTACAAAAAGAATTAAAAAAAATCAAACGAGACACTATATACACAAAAACACAAATAAACACAAACTAAACGTATTTACCAACAAAGCGAGAAATTATCCACAAAATATTAACAAAAGCATTGACAAGTGCAACAAAATTATTTATAAAAATAACTACAATTTTCACGTATCAATTCTCTAATTTTTCATCCTCATCATATTACTGGGCTCTGTTTTGTGAACTTGGATCTTTGGTTGCCTAATTAGTTTGATGGCAGCGATTGCAACGAAAATTACTCTTGAATCGAACCTGAGTATTTATCCTACAAATTTGCTTTCGTTTAAGGGGGAGAAATATCGTTCGGTCCTTTCAAAATAGAGGTTTCCTCCGATAAGGGTATTTTACCGATTTCGACTAAGGAAAGTATATTCCACAAGTTTGAAGGGTGTTATATCCCCTTTTACTCCTACATTTTCTAGAAGTTGCGCGTTCGACTTCCGCTAACTTTTTTTTGAGAAGGAGGTTTTGGATCATCTATGTGTTCTCCCTTAGCAACTTCATCCTTATGCTTGAGGTTTTGTTCGAGTATTCTAGTATTGGTATAAATACCCAGAAAAATAGATTCAACTTTTTGAGACCTCTTTTTCCCTCTCTTTGAAGTTTATCCCACCCCAAAGGAAGCCATTAGTGACAAGCTTGCTTCTCTCTGTCGTACCAAAAATTAGGTATTCAAGGTCTACGTCGATAGTTGGAAGTATCTTAAAAATGATTGCTTCCCGAATAAACCAATTTCTCCTCTTGCTCATGAGGAATTATGTGTTGTCTCTCCCACTTATATCGCTCAAGTTGATTGCATGGATCTGAGGCGACGATTCTAGTCTCTAGATCATTTCTGCAAATGTTCCAAGTATTAAAGGGTCTCTTAAGAAGCTCTTAACGAGGTTGATAAGGATATGAAATAAATTTTTCTCTTGTTTTATGACGACCTGATACTCTGTATGAAAGTTGAAAAAGCTAGTTTTACGGAGGGACGAAAAGAGGTGTTCGATAAGTTATTTTGTTTCTTTTGCTTTGTGTGGTACAAGGACTTGTTTAGTTCTCATATTTGGGTCTTTCTTTCTTTCTTTTTTCTTCAGATAACTATCAGAAAGGTTTTGTTGTTATGACCAAGATTATACTAGAATCCAGGGTTCCTTAGTTTGTTCCAACTCCTTTGGAAGGTCGGTCTAAGAAAAAACATGACATGACGAGTTTGGACGCCCCCAGCTAAGACCGAGTAAAGAAGTTTGGCCTTGAGAAGGATTCTTTGGAGATGTGAGGTCTAGCGGGCGTCACTCCTATCAAAAGAAGAGCATCTCCATGGATCTTCGACTCAATTAGTGTGGCAGAAGGAGGATCTCTATAACCAACTTAGGAAGATGGAAGGTGATGTCTATTAGAGTAAGCTCGATGCGGATTTCTGGTTTTGTCATGAACTTACAAACTTGACTTACAACTCGTGGTAAATTTGGTCTAGTGCAAACCATATCATACATTAAACAACCAACAACATTGGCACAAGGGGCCATTGACATATACTCAGCTTCTGCATATGTATTTGCATACTGATCCAATGAGAACTTATAGTAATTTGACAATGGAGTATTCACAATCTTCGAATTACTCATGTCAAACTTGTCTAACACCTTTTCAATATAGTTTTTTTGAGAGAGCCGTCATTTTCTAGCACTCTTGTTTCTGTGAATTTCCATATCAAAAATCTTCTTTGTGGCACCTAAATCTGTTATGTCAAACTCGTTTTCCAACATGATTTTTCGTTCATTTACATCCTCGTACATGTCATACCAAGAATTTATACTTTCGTCCGAAAGAGACTTGTACTAGGCTAGGGACGATTCAACTATGGTTAGTGCAAAGAAATTGCACTTCACGACTTTGTCAACATGGTTGTAGTCCACCTGGTCATCTACATGCTCGATGTGTTCATCTAGATATCCAATTCCGTTATAATTCTGGAGCTTTGGAGACTTCTCCATTGGTTTTGGGATTCAATTGTCCAGATGCAAGTAGACAGGAAGTTCTTCTTCTTCGGGAGGAGTCTTACTACCCCATTCTTTGGGATCAGAGGAAGGAGTATGTTGCACGTGTCTTTGGCGGGTTAGAGACTTCGGAACCTCTTCTAAATTCCTTCCCGTACCATATTAAGAAACCAATACAGAACTTGATAAGGGAAAAAGTCTCATTTGACGGATCAATAACAATGATCAAATATATACAACTCTAATTACTTCCAGTCTAAGCTATTGTGAGAATGCTGCATTCTGTAGTTGCTTAATTAGCAAGTAACTAACTCAACTAACATTAAAACTGAATTATAACATAATTCTACAATTGCTTAACAATCTATAACTGCCTAGCTAACTTCAATGACTTTGTTATATTGTTCTTTTACATGCTTCAATAGATCCCTTGACATTGTGAAGAAGTTTTGTTTCCAGGCCTATCTAAGATTTCGGCATATCCATTGTTCAAGCAACATCCCTGGTTACACTGGTATTGCAGTTCTGCTTATCTTGCATCTCGCGAGTTCATCTACACCTTATCTCACTGTCAAGATCATATCCCATCTTCTCTATTTTCTGGACTTCAAAGAGCAGCTATACATACTCTTAGAGATAAACTTAATTTAAGATAAAACTTTAAGCAGATGCATAGCTCATGAGATCAGTGATGGCAAATATCATAATGTAATGCAAATAACCCTTCAACCAACCAAGAATATGTCAATCACATTACATGAATTGAATGTAAAGATAAATGTTGTCAATTGCTAACTGCAAATGTTAAATAGCCTGTCGCAGAACAATATTGATTTGATTAAATCCTGTTAAACTAAAACTGATGAAACACAAGCAAATTTTCTTGTGTCCACACTACTTGACCTCGAAAATTGGTGAGCTATACTTAGCTTTCGCATCTCTCTTGTCGCGGTGCACTGCATTTTCCGTCTTTATGTACCAAAATGTCATGGAATTTTTGTAAAGATTGCCCCTAGGATGAGGGTTACTTTGGTATATGTAGTTTGATGGATTAAAAATAGGACTTTCTTTCCTTGACACTGACCTTGTCCTCAGACAACTCTCTATCACCTTGGCCTCTTCCTTCAATCTTTCTCTCATGTCCAAAATATTTCTTCTAACTTTACTAGATACTGATTTGCTGGTAATGTTCCATGCCTTGAAACTCGAAGGATTGGAATTGTTAGGGAGAATGTTGGGTTTATATGGGATTCTGTTGCACTCAATGCAGAAGCTTCTGTTTCTTTCTAAGTTGAAAGATTTTCTTTTTGCAGCATCAGATAGACATGTATATGCCTAGAAGAAAGAAAAAAAATGGAAGGTTTAGTTCAGATTTTTATTCAATTTGGGAAAAAATTTAAACAAGCATATGAAGGTTTTGTAAACCGGCAGTAACAAAACAGTATTGGAAGGTGCCGGTATGGATATGGTTACCGTTATTCACCATTTGATTAGTTTATACTGCGGCGACCACAATCATTATCGCAACACTTGTACAGATCAAAATCGCGAAAACCTTTATGCGACTGCAACCGGTATAAATTTATTTATGAGAGAAACAAACCTGAGAGACAAGTTTGAATGCAGTTTCAGCTTTGGGATGTTTATTCTTATCTGGATGAAGTTGCAAAGCTGAAGCAACAAACAAATTCATAATCAAAAAGAAAGAAAACCAATGCAAATTGCATAAAATCATAAATAAAAAGATTTAAAAAAAAAACATTACCAAGTTTATGATATTTCTTACGTATGGTATTTACTCCAGCATTTTCTTCCACCTATGATATATTTGGATTGAATCACATTCATATTCATATGATATAAGGTTAATTAATTAACAAGGAAAATGGTAATTAAAAAAAAAAATACTTACACCAAGAATGCAATACCAATCAATGAAAGATGCATTAGAGAAAAGTGTATGAAGACAACGAATTGAATGGTTTGAAATGGAACATATATCTAATACTAATTTTGTTTTGTAATCAGATTTTTCTTGTTCCATTTTTCTTATTATTTGAAATTCTAAGTAACTCAAAAAAGGGTTTTATATAATAAAAATACTATGACTGTGTTTTTGTGAAGTATTTTGAAAGTAACGGAAGTAGAACGGTTTTATTCATTTATTTTAGAATTGGAATAATAAAGTGAAAGTATTTTGGGAATTGATTAGATAGATATTTTGAACTGGTTTATTATCATTAATATTATTGATAAGATTATTAAATATTATTATTTTAACTATTTATCTTTTTTTTTTAAATTGAATTAATTCATATTTAATATAGTCAAAACTATACAGAAATAGTAGATAAATAAACAACAAAGTGAGCCGTTATCTTTTTTAAAGGACAAAATCAATCTTTTTAAAAATTTAATTGTTAAAGTAAAAGTTAAATAATTAAACTATTAAGTTGATGATAATAATGTCATTTAAAAAAATATTTGAAGAATAACGAAATAAACTCGGCATGAGAAAACATGTTTTTTCATACGATTTATTTTTAATATAATTTTTAAAATAATTGATTTTATTATTTAAAAAAAAATAACAGCATAATTTATTGCCTGTTTATCTATTACTTCGGTATAATTTTGATTTTAACTAAGGGTAAGGGTAATGATAAGTAATGTTAACTTATTCTCTGAAACTTAAATTAAGAATGAAATGAAAACAAATTTCTAAAAAATTGTGCACTAATTTTAATAAAAATATAGAATTAAACTTTTTATTGTTTTTTCAATACAAATTATCTATAACTAGATTTCTTAACTTGTATTCTTAAAAGTTAGCATTATCCTTTAACTGATAATTGTCTAATTTATAAAATATAATTAAATACAAAATTAAAATTTGATGTATTTAGAGAAATCAAATACTTATTTAACATAATTTCTTCAAATGGCATACTTTGGATGCGGAATCTCTTAAAGAATTTAATATGTCACCTACATGGCACTTTTTCATTAGAGACATTTTTATTATAAAGTCCATGTGTGATGCGGTGGAAGAACTGACTTGAGGTTTTGCGTTTGTGTTCGCAAATGTTTCGATTTAGCAAATGTCGCCACCGACTTTTTATTTTATCCAAAGGAAAGGTCAAAAAGCACATGAAAGACCTTTGAGATTGTTTTTGGGTTCGGGGGGTAGATTATGAAAAGGGAAGGTGCTAACACCCTTTTCATCCATGGTTTTCCATGGGCTCTTAGTTACTTGTTTTAGATCACTTGCTTTTGCTTTTCAATTGTTTGAAATGGTGCTTTTGTGTGTGGTTTTGAAAGTATTTTTGAAAAGAGGTCATCGTTGTGGCAACCTTTGTAATAATTCTTGTTTGAATGTATACAAAGGTGTTTGTCTTTTGAAAAATGTTTCAATGTTTGAAAGTTTGTTGGGAAATGTTTTGAAATTGTGTTGTGTATTTTTGAAAATAGCAAGGATATTTGCAAGTTTGATCAAGTAACTAGGAGTTGTCTACCCTAACTCAAAGATCTTTCCTACACATTTTTAACTCTTTGACATTGTTGTTTTACCATTGTATTTGATAAACAACCTTGTGTTTGGATGTTAAACGGGACAGGCGCGGGTCATCGTATGACCATGATAGCAATTGTGCTAAGTATCTTTAGCAAATTTTTGAGGGACTAGATCATTTTTGTATAGGCAACCAAGATAGCGTCATCGAGGGACTATGATCTTTTGTTTTTGTTTTTTGTTTTGCCAAGACACCTAGCATGCATACCATGGTCATTTTTAAGGCAACAAGTGGATGAAATCCTAGGGGTGCTTGTGTGCATTGTGTTGTCATTTTCATGCATTTTTGTCTTGTATTAGGTCAAGCTATTTGTTTTGATTTTTGGTTATCATACAAACCCTAATCTTTCTATCATGACATATTTGAAAGCAATAAGATGCGTAAAAGTAAATCTACGACTATTACAATATTGATATGGGGAGGGGGATACAAGTTTGAATAGGAGGATATTTGCAAGAAAATAAAACCTTAATTCAACTATTACAACCAAATTGAATTCATTGTACAAATAATAAATTGACAAATATTTAAATGTGCAATTAAACATAAATATGCAAAAATGTTTTTTTGTATATTTTATGTATGTAAAATAAATTATTTAATGTATCAAAAATAAGAAAATAAAAAGATTATTTTTGGAAAGGGTGAAAACCCTAATTTTGGTTTAAGAGAATATATATTCTAAATATTTATTTATTCATTTTATGTATAAAGAAAATAAATAAAATATAGAAAAAAATGTTAAAAAATTAAAATGTGTGAGAAAATATTATTTAAGTGTATAAATAATAAAAATAAAAATATATAATATTTTTGTATTAATTATAAGTTTTTATTTAAGAAAACAAATGTATTAAACCTAATAAACTAAATATTGTACCAAAAATAAAATAAAAAAATAAAATAAAATGTGAAAATTTAAGAAAATATTTTTAGTGATTTTTAATATTTGGAGAAAATAAAAAAAAGTCAGAAAATAAAAGGAGAAATGAAAAATATGGAAAAATAATGAAATGGGCCAAGGGGGTGTGAAAAGCAAGCTAAGGGGTGCCAATAGTCAGAACAAACAAGCCCAGTCCAAAGTCCAGCTTCATCCCTGTCCTTTAGATTGAAACACGCGCGCCATGGTTCAAACTGCTAACTCCTGCATTTGTGCTTAAAAATAAAAACTTGCAACATGAAAGTTATAGCTCTTGATCACACAATTCTAACCATGTAAAAAACTTAATCTAACTCTCAAAGACCAGAGAGAATTTCATTGGCCCTAAATCTTGACCTAGTTTTTTCAGAAAGTTTAACTATCAAATACTCCTGGCTCAGTTAACATAAATGAATTCTATGCATATGTACAACTCAAGGGAAATGAGGACTACATTTTTGCTTCACAAACCTAAGCCTAATGATTCCTAAATAGAGAGATAGAAGTTTGAAATTTATCTGTTTCAGTCAAGCTCGAGTATGGCAATGCAGCAACTTTCAGTGAGGCCTGAGGTTCTTTTGAGCTTTCTTGATGTTCCCTTGACCTTCCCCAATGCTTGGCTTTCTTTGAAATAGCTTGAATATGCTTGTAGAACTTAACCTGCAAACTCAGAATTTGAAAATGGTGAAGTGTGTAAATGGAGTTACAGTGACTTGGGAATGGTTGGGATAGCTTAGGTATATTGTATGGAGTGTGTTGGAACTGGTTGTAAGCAAAACGCACGAGTGGATTTGGTTTTGGAAGTCAAACTGCAGAACCTGCCCTGTTTTGACAAGAACTTGGTGTTTTGATGTTAGATGGTGTTTGAGAGGCTTAGGGCTTGTGTTTCTGGCTTGGTATGTTATGCTGAAGTCTTTTCAAATTTTCACACACTTTGGTTTTAGCAGATACAAGAGTTGTTGACCTTTTGCAAGGTTTTTTTTGTTTTTGAAGCAAAAGTTGGAATTGACAATGCAAAGGCTTGTACCATCTAGCTTAGGGTCTGCACATAGTTGGTACCAAATGCCTGATATTAGTGAATTTGTTTGCATAAAGAAATCAGGTCCATGGCTCAAGATACACAATTTGACATAAAACATGCTTTATCAAAGTGGCAATGCTACCTTTTTGCCAAAAATGGATTAATTCTTTGTATAATGCTTCATAGATCAGAACAATGCCTCTAACCAATGTGTTTGCATTTAATTTATGAGTGTGGAAGGGTTTAAGGACCTGTAAACCAAGTACAAGCATGGTTGGACATAATTTGCAACTTGTAGCATGGTGTAAAATGCCTTGGCCAAAAGTGATATTTTGTCATTTTCAATCCTTCGATTCTCCCTAACCACAAATGATTTTGCAGAGTTCTTGGACATTTTGAAAAGCTTGTAACATGATCTACAATCCATCTTTAAAATGCATTTTGAGATTCCACTTTGAACTATGTAAAAAATTGCCATAAAATTAGGTCAAAATCCTGCCTAAACTAGGGCAAAATTTCACTAAATTAAAAGTTTCATAAACCTTTGTTCACAAAATCATAAATTAAGATTATTAAATATCATTATTTTAACTATTTATCTTCTTTTTTTTCAATTGAATTAATTCATATTTAATATAGTCAAAATTATACATAAATAGTAGATAAATAAACAACAAAGTGAGTCGTTATCTTTTTAAAGGACAAAATCAATCTTTTTAAAAATTTAATTGTTAAAGTAAAAGTTAAATAATTAAACTATTAAGTTGATAATAATAATGTCATTTAAAAAAATATTTGAAGAATAACGAAATAAACTCGGCATGAGAAAACATGTTTTTTCATACGATTTATTTTTAATATAATTTTTAAAATAATTGATTTTATTATTTTAAAAAAAATAGCAGCATAATTTATTGCCTGTTTATCTATTACTTCGGTATAATTTTGATTTTAACTAAGGGTAATGATAACTAATGTTAACTTATTCTGTGAAACTTAAATTAAGAATGAAATGAAAAAATATTTTCTAAAAAATTGTGCACTAATTTTAATAAAAATATAGAATTAAACTTTTTATTGTTTTTTCAATACAAATTATCTATAACTAGATTTCTTAACTTGTATTCTTAAAAGTTACCATTATCCTTTAACTGATAATTGTCTAATTTATAAAATTATAATTAAAATATAAAATTAAAGTTCAATGTATTTAGAGAAATCAAATACTTATTTAATCATTTTAAAGTTTTAATATAATTTTTTTAAATGACACACTTTCTAAGCGGGATTTCTCAGAGAATTTAACATGTCACCTCTTATTTATATATGACACCCTTTCATTAGAGACATTTTTATTATAAAGTCTATGTAAAATATCGAATTTTTTAAAATTGTTTTGTATCCGAAATTTTCATTGAATATCGAAAATTTTGGTTAAATTATCACTTGTTACCGTGGCGCATGTATTCCACCGGAAATTTTAAATCTCTGATACTGGAAATTTCAAATTTCTGAGATTTGACATCCTTGTA